GGAGGAGGAGGAGGAGGAGGAGGAGGAGGAGGAGGAAGAAGAAGAAGAAGAAGAAAACTACTGCATATATAAGTAGCTCAAGGGAACTTGGTACAATAACTTTTAACTGGTTATAATATCCAGGTATTATTTTTGAGACAAGGCTTCATTATGCAGTTCAGTCTGTGACTTTGAACTCACTATATAGACAAGGCTGACCTCGAACTCACAGTGATCCTCCTGCCTCAATCTCCCAGGTGTTGAGGGTAAAGGTGTGCACCATCACACCCTGCTTAATAAGTAGTTATCATACCTAACAAATACATATTATCCCTATATATAATATAAATAAAAGTGCCAGGGATTTAGCTTAGTGGCACTGTGCCTGCCTCACAAGCACTAGGTCCTGAGTTCAATCCCTGGTACTGTAAATAATAACAACAACAATAATAATACCACACCCTTATACCAGTAAAATGCACATCAAGATATGAATTCTAAAAATCCTTTTCTGCATGTCTGTAATCCCAGCACTTGGGAGGCTGAGGCAGGAGGATTGCTGTGAGTTTGAGACCAGCCTGGGCTACATGGTGAGTTCCAGGTTAGTCTCAACTACATAGTGAGATCCTGTTTCAAAAAAACAAAAAAAGAAATCCTTTTCTGAAAAGCAAAAATCAAAGACATTACCAAAAACACAGAAGTTACATCCCGACATCACTTTGAAAAGACAAAATCTTTGACAAAACATTAGCAAGTTATATACAATATATTAAAACGACATACCATGACCAAGTAGGTTTACCTCAAAATGCAATATTTGAAAATCAGTCGACGTAATTCATCATATTAGTAAATTTTAAAAAGAAAAACCACTTGATCATCTCAACAGATGAAGCAAAAGGCTGAAAGTTCAAAATTCTTTCATAATTAAAATTCAGCAAACAAGGAGCAGAAGAGAATTTGCTCAATCCAATAAAGCCCATCTAAAAAAAAGTCTATCATACTTAAGGATGGAAGGTTGTGTGCTTTCCCTCCAAGTTTAGGAACAAAGCATTTTTTCAGTACTGGAAGTCAAACGCAGGACATTGTGCTTACCAGGCAGGCATGGCATCTCTGAGCTACATCTCCAAAGCATTCACTGATTAATATGGTACTGGAGTCCCCACTGAGTACAACAAGGCAAGAAAAATAAAAAGGGCATAAAGATTGGAAACAATTAAAGTAAATAAAATAGTTCAATTTAAAAATAGTAAATACTGCGAGCGTGGTGGCGCTTGCCTGTAATCCCAGCACTCGGGAGGCTGAGGCAGGAGGATCGCTGTGAGTTCGAGACCAACCTGGGCTATACAGTGAGTTCCAGGGCACTCTGAACTACATAGTGAGACCCTGTCTCAAAAAAAGTAAATACTGCATTCTTCCATTCATATAAAATTCTAGAAAATGCAAATTAATCTATAGTGACAGAAAGCAGACCAGTGGTTGCCTAGGCAGTAGGTGAGAAGGATTCCAAAGAAGTACATGAAAACTTTTGGGAATGGTGGATATAGTTATTATTCTGGTTATGGTGGTGTATTATGGATAAATACACTGTACATCTATATAAACTGTACATTATGAAGTATCTTTTATTGTCTATCAACTGTATCTCAATAAAATTGAGAAAAGAGAGCCTCAAAAGGTATATTAAATTCATAAAAAAATTAAGGAGTGAAATGTTGTGCTTACCTTGGAAGAGAATGTAGATTTCTATCCACTGTGGAGAGTCAGGAGTGTTAATAGGAAAGTACAGAGTTTTTCAGGTTGCCAGATTTGGTATATAAAAATGATGATTCCCAATAAGACTTGAATTTCAGGTAAGTGAATAATTATTTAGTATGTAAAAAAATGATGATTCCCAATAAGACTTGAATTTCAGGTAAGTGAATAATTATTTAGTATGTAAATAATTGCTAAATATTTTTGTTTTCATTTTCTCAGTACCGGGGATTGAACTCAGGACCTGGTACTTGCCAGTGGCTCCACTAAGCTAAATCCCCCACCCAATAATTCCTAAATGTTACATAAAACATTCAGCGGTTCCTAAATGTTACGTGAAACATACTATACTTTTTAAATTGCTGCTTATCTGAAACTTGTTACATACACTAAACAGTCATTTGTTGTTTTCCTGAGTTCAAATGTAACTGGCTCTTTATTTTCCCTGGCCATCCTAGATGTTGTCTTACCTACACTCTATGACATCAAGCCTCTAAAAAGGGACGCTGAGTGAATTCTATTTTGACTTTGACATAGCTGCTGAATTGCTGTATCCCTGGCAAAGGCTCTCTGCTCAGTATCCAACATAGTACCTTATTCATAGAAGGTGCTCAGAAAATATATTTTGCTCTACAAGCTATGTGAAGATAGGGACTGCATCTCTCTCCCTTACTGCCTCATCCCCTGGGTCTATTACAAGATCTGATGCTCAATGAATACATGATTAAGTGAGGAGCTGGCTCTACTGCCCCAGAAAATTACAGAGTTGACCTTTTAACTCTAGCCCTGATAGCTGCTGACAGGTGGATTTCTTGGACGGGTCCCAATTTTGATTTCTTGGCTTGTCTTCCTCTTTGTTTTTTCTGTTTCTCAGGTTGCTATTTTGTTTTGTGTGTGACCCATTGGACCTATCATTATCTATGATGCCTCAGACATTCTTGTTTTTCCCTTTGGAATTTGGGAGATTGCTCTGAGGCTCTGAGATCCTCCACCCTTGGGGAAACTCAAAACTCCAAAACACAATAGCAAGGATTGCTTAATGAGATACTGGAGCACCTCCCTTTAAAACTAAGGAGCTAGCAGGGGTGGTGAAACCATGGAATGCGTGTTACTGTTTTTTTTTTTTTAAGACAGAAGATGTTAATGTATGCAGTATTTTTTCTAAACTAATACCTCAGTATTCAGGATTAATTGCAGTGTTGGAACTTTACAATAAATAAGTAGGTTGTGGGTTGTAGTTTGGGTCTCTAAAAGGTTCATCATCATAAGCTAGGAGATAGGGCTTCACTTTTGGAAAGATGACCAGGATAAGGAGGAATCTTTTGAGACAGGGAGGAATCTATATATTTGACATTATTGTTACCTGCCCTATAAAAACCTGAAGTACTTCCAAACTCTACATACTGTCCATTAATCTTCTTACATAAAACTAGGAATCTAACCTAATAGTCCGTGATTTACTGCTACAAATGAACAGAGATTGTAGAAGTTACTTTTGGTGAGAGAAGGCTAATGTGCACAAAAATGTCTTGTGCATAGAGGATTTCAGAACTGTAAGGAATCTTAGAGATAACTTCGTACAATTTATGTACTTAGTAGCAGTGCTTTCTTGTTTTAAAGATGAGTATAAGGCCTAGAGACTCTCCCAGGATCACATGGTGAATGACTAAACCAAGTGAAAAAAGTATCATCAGGACTATTACTGATTTTTATCTCTATAACCCAGTTTCTCTAGTTATTAGCAGTCCAGACAAGGGTGGAGGCTACAAAGTAAAATAATAAAGCACCTTGTGCCAAGGGCATATGTGTTATTTTCCACATACCAGATACTGTTTTTTTTTTCAGCTTTAATTGAGTTTATTGGTACATTTTAGGGATACAGTACAGTTACATTCATTGTTGGGATCTTGTACCTCTACATGACAAGTCTTGATTCTCATTTTTTCTCCTTACCTCTGCCCTCCCTTCACCCCCTCCTCCCCTTCCCATCTAAAAACACTTTATTTTCATCTTTTCATTCTCTCACATTTTTTTCTTTTCCCTTTTTACTCTTCCCCTACCCATCCCACCTTCCCTACACCTTTAGCTCCTTTCTTCCCATTTCTAAATGTCAGTAATCTTATTACAATCTTATGCCAGATACTGTTTTTGCTTCCATTTCAGTTCAAACTTTCTTCCACCATTAAAGTTTTTTGTACCATTGATAAATGTTTCCTAGGCTGATTCACTCTTTCTAAATGTTCCCCCCACCATGGGGAGGGATTCCCACCAACAAGACCTCAGAGAAAAAAAAAGTTGCTTATAATGTTTGCAAAAGCCTAATGAAAATCATACATTTCCTAAAAATAAGTCTAAAAAAGTCATGGTTCTTTGGCTGGAAACATAACTCAGTGGATTGGCTCTGGGTTTTATCCACACTACAGATACAGAAAACATGCGCTGTAGTTTTATTGTTAAGGCGACCCCCCAAATTGTCACTGTAACCTTTGCTTCAAACTCAGACATAGAAAGGGGAAATGAAACATAGCTGAGTTTTTGTTAATAAAAGTTGGAAAAAAGTCACCAACAAATGCAATTTGCATATTATAAAATATTGTAAGACACGAGATCCCCAAGCAAAAATAGTAAAAAGTGTCATTAAAGTTGGCAACCACATGACATTTTGACATTACTAAATTAAGCATAGGCTACTGTGGTTTTGAGATGCTTTAGGCGACCAAAAAGCTCTGGCTCATTTCTATGCTAAAGAAACTGTAGGAAGTGGAGAGAAAAGGGGCAGAAATGTACAGGTGGACAGAATACTTGACCCTGTTTTCTTCCTTAGAAACAAAGATCTCAGTTTTAAGTTGTTATAAGGATAAAATAACCTTGTTTCTACACAAGTGCTTTGTGGGTAGAATGAGGTGAGATAACACCTCGTAAACGAGGAAGGGAGCAATTATTAAACAGGAATCCATCAAATATTAATAAGTGCTCATATAAGGATGACTGGAGGAAAAAAAATGAATCCTCCTATCTGTTCCCAAAGCATACGAATTAGAGAAAAATGCAGCTACATAAGCAGAGGTACTTACCCTGATGAGGTCTTACTAAGGTAGTTAGGACCGCGCCCAATGTTTTGAGAGAGCGGGTTGCGAGGTGGTGCAGACACGACAAACGTTACCATGTACTTCGATTTTTAAAGTGACACAAGAACGGTCACTGCAGCCTCTGCGTTCGGGTGCTGCAGGTGGAGGAGCGCGCCGGGGAGAGGACAGCTGGGACGCAGCGCTGCAGTGTGCGCTGGCGGGGGTCCGGGGCTGCATTGCAGCAGCGTGTGCAAGGTGCGCGTGCACCGAAGCACTGGGGGCCTTTCTGCAGCAGGAGGGACCTGCATGATTATATCATTTTAGGCATATGGTTTTGAGGTGCATAAGCTCTGTGGTCCCCCAACTGGGGCCGAAGTCAAACAGCTGGAACAGCGACCCTCGCCGGAGCACAGAGTCACGGTCCCCGCGCAGAGCCCCGACCAACGAGGAGCGCCGGGCCTGAGCGCCGACGCGGGCCT